TGTTAAAGTGTTGGTAATCTGTCGTTTTATCTTATTACTAACACAAAACAGTAGAAATGGTGTTTTAAGGTAATCATATGAGTATTGGATATGACGAGGAAGTAAGTATAGAGGAAATAAAAAACTCAATTTATCTGATTTTTTTTTTTTTTGGTTAAATTCAGGTATTGAGGAAATTAACCTTTAATGCAGGCCTAAGATATTTTCCACGATCAAAGTTTGCAACAATTTTTGAAATTAAAAATAGAGCAACTAAATAAAGGCTTATATATCCGTAAAAGGCAGAATTACACAACACATCTAAATTTAAAGCCAAACCACAGATGGATTTGGACTTCATTATGTAGTTGGGTCATAAGCCCATAGCTATGGACCAGGGCCGATCTAGCTTAATTTTTTTTCATTATGGCCAAGAGCAAGCCCATGATCAGGCCCCGGTAATCCAAATTAATACAACATAATATTATATATAAAAAGACACTTTAGGGTTTTCATTTCTCAGCCTCTGAACCATCCCTGTGCCCTAGTCTGGTTTCTCTTTCGCGCCGAAGGCTAGAAGAAGAAGTGAAGACGATTCTTTCTTCAGAGACGATGGACACCCGACGGGGGTGAAGTCAAAAACAACGCCAAATTATCGAAGTGGGAGGGCCCCACGAGGCAAGCTCAGCCGCGAACTTCAAGCACCCTCAACCTCGACTTCCATATCATGACCCGACGAGGAAACACGGCAAGCGCAAGCTAATGATCGACGCCTGGTTCGGCACCCGTAAGAACAGCGCCGCCATTCGTACCGCGCTCAGCCACCGTGGGGAATCTTATCACCCGGTGTTACCAAGGTTTACCGGTACAAGATGAGATTTGTCTACGCTCACTTCCTATAACGCTTTCGATCGCGAACGGAAACAAGGCGATTGAGATCCGAACTTTCTTGGAGAGAAGAAGGTACTTTTTTTTAGTCTCCTTCGTTTATTTATTGTTTTGAAGTAGAGTAATATTACAATGCTGGAGTAGTAACGGTAGGGGAAGGACAGAGCATTTGTGTTTGTTTTGTAGAGTAAAGTAGTAAGTATGTTTCTGCTAATGGTTACTGGACAAGTTGGAACTTGAAAAGTATGTTATGTGCTTTATGCTGAAGTTTATGCCCGTATTTTTCATTTTTTAAACTTTTGTCGTGTGTTTGAGGAATTTTGTAAAGACTGTAATCGCCTTGTCTAGTGCCTTGAAACGTATGTTTTTAGATCTATTCCGGTTAAAAACTTTGGTTTACTCATGGCAGAACAAATTCAATTATGAAGTCGACAAATAGATTTTCATGTTTAAGTGATAATCTTGACTAATTTATGTGCAGTGATTGAATTCGACTTTGATTTTGCATCGTGTCACTTTTGTCTGGATTCAAAATTTAGGCTGTCTAAAATCTTTTAGGGTGGGCAGTAGTGTTACAGAACCTTATTTCTTTTGATTGATTTGGGTTAGTGTATGTTGTTACAACAGGTTCTGTAAAGTGGATATGCTTGAGGGTGTAAGCATTTTGCGATCGAAAAGTTAAGGATGAGCTCGTATTGGATGGGAAATGACATTGAGCTCGTGTCTCGGTCATGTGCTTTGATTAATCAGGTTATCTCCCTCCTATCCCTGTCTTTCATGCTTAGTGTGGTTACAATAGTTGTTATTCTGACTGTTTATCTTTGTTTTGAACAGAAATGCCATGTCAAGAACAAGGATTAGGAAATTCCTTGACGGTATCTATGTCAAGTGAAAGGGGCACAATTCTGAAGAAGAATGATTACCTACCATTCATGTTATAGTAATGTTTTCGGAGTTTTTGGTTCTTCTACCGCAGTATGAAAGCGATTAGTTTTGTTTTTTCTGGAATTTTTGTATTAGAGAATTTTGGATTCAAATTACTAGTCTTTTAATGGTTTTGTTTCAAAATTTGTTATGGATATTATCGAAACCATTGCTATATTGCTCCATTTATCCTAATGAAATCACTTTTCAGAGGTTGGATAGTTGGATTTGTGTTTGCTGAGTTATTTCTTTGCATCATTTTGTTGGTCAATGGTTTTGATAATGTTATATTAACCATTAGAGTTAAATTGTAGTTGTAACATGGAGTGCTCAAACTTGGGTTGAAAAGGGTTTCTAACCTGAGTTTTTGCTCTAGGGTTTGGTGGGGGTTTGAAACTTAGGTTTTTAGTTACTTAGGGAAGATGTTCGAAAGCATGTGTTGATTAACAAAAAACAAACACAAAGACATAATTTACAGATTTAATGGTATATCAAAATATCTCATCATGGAGGGGTAAAAGAAGTTAACGTTGGAGGGATTTTGGCAGAATCCATTGAATCTATATGGTGTACTTAAACTTTGACCACTTTTATTGGAAATGGAGTCAGAGTGTGTATAAACACTTTTTTTTTCAAGTGCAAGTGGCCATGCTGAATCATGTAGTACTCGCATTGATTTTAACTAAATTGGGTTAGTGATGAACTAGTTTTCTGTTTTGAGAAGTCATTAACTAAAAGTTTGTTAAGTTTTTGCGGAGTTTACTAGGCATTCCAAAAGATCCTCAAACCGGGTTTTATTTGTTGGAAAAACGTTGTGTTTAAATTTGTTGAAGAGATGTTGGAGGTGACAAACTTGAAAACTTAAAGAGGAAATGGAGTTTGAGGTCAAGATATAGTACCCTACAAGAATTGCAGGCAGGATGCCTAACAATTCTAAGCTTAAAAGCTCCACAAATGCTATAAAAAATATAAAAGAAGATTCGCCTCTATTGTAATTCAATAATCCTTACAACGTATGAGCAAGTTTGTTCGTAAATGCAAAATGCAAATAAATCTAAATCCAACAATGGATACGGTTAGGGCTCTGCGTTTGCCGGGAGTCGAAACCGGGTTATTGCTGGAAGGCAATATCCTAACCGTTGGACTACAAACGTGATGAAAAGCTGGTGTCCGTACCACTTTATTTATGTATGTCTTTTATCAATATGGTATTATAACATTAATCCGTTTAAAGTATGATAAATAACAAAAATTCTTCTGAGGTTTCGGAATTAACATAAATCTTACACTGTTGAGTTTTAAGTGTTTAAAATAAACGGTAGAAAAGTAATTTGATAATATTTTCTAGCTTATAACTAAGTAAATTTTAACAATTCATTGTTTATATGATAAAAGAATTTGGTTATTTTAGAAATATAGGGGAATTTGTGTGTTTATATCTACCTTAGGGGGTCAATGGCATTAACCCTTTCAATAATTTAATTTCAATAGTTGTTATGTTAATTTTGGGAATGTTTCATAATGGTTTAATAATGTTAAGAGGTTTTTATAATATAACTAATGTTCAATACTTAAAGAATATCTTAAAAATTAACCTCAAGGGTTTAGTCTAGCATTCAAAGAAGTTTGCTCCACATACCATAATAACCAGGGCCGGTGGTAAGGGGTAGGCAGGCGCGACGGCACCTGCTAGGGCCCCAAAAAAAATGGGGGCCCAAATATAAATTTTTTTTTTTAATATCTTACAAAAATGAAAATGGTTTATAATTTCTTATCTAAGTCAAGGGGCTCAAAAAAAAAAAAAGCATAAAAGCCCAAATTATTATAAACTTTTTACATATATACCCACCAAAGTTTAACAAAATAACAAGTTTGTACCCTAGTTTTATATATTTAGTTTATACCCCTAAATTACACATTGAATCTCTTTTAACAATGGAAGACTAAAATAGTCACTTACATATCTCAATTACTCACCCCAATTCAATCCCAAAATTGACATTTAAATCATCTCCAGCCCTCTTCTGCCGCAAATGGTTGTGGAGTGATTTCGGTCAATTTTGGTTCCGGTCGATTTTCTCACCAAATCGACCGAAATCATCATTTTATCATTTTCCAACCTGATAGCCTTGATTGATAATTTTTGATGAACCTCGCAACCCAACTCCACCACATGACAGCCATTTCCAGTCTTTTGGCTATACCGACATTGTTGGCTTCCTCGAACACCATCTTCCTCCCATCAGCCCCCACCAAAACCCCTATCATACCTTATCCGTTTACTCTGCCAATCACCAGCCATCGATACCTTTGGGTCGTGACTTCTCAAGCCTTTTATCAATCTTGGCATTGGATCACTCATTTCACCACCCATCACTTCTCCAACATCTATCTCCAAAACCCCGCACAACCTAACCTTATAAGCCTGCCGATTGTTGTTCACCTCTCTAGTGATTTTTCATCTCAAAAGGGAAAAAAAAAATTGAAATGAATAATTTTTATATGCTTATATTATTAGAGGGCCCGAAGTAACTCTGCTAGGGTCACAAATTTTCTATAGACGGCCCTGTAATAAACATTATGGTTCTGATCCTTTCGGCTTATAGGATGTTTAATGGATCTCGATAATTAATGAGGTACGTGTAAGTGACTTGGATACTCCAATTACCCAAAAAAAAAAAAAAAAAAAAAAAAAAAAAAAGCTTAAAATTATAGAGAAAGATCTAGTGTTGCCAATGTCACTTACTAATTTCCAGAGAGTTTAGGCATGAATACTTTGTTTAAAGAACATACATTATAATGGATATAAATACACTTATAAGCATGGATAAAATAGAAACTTCATTGCATCAAAGAGAAAATCAGTAGTGTTGCCAATGTCACTTACTTAATTTCCAGAGAGTTTAGGCATGAATTCTTGTTTAAGAACTACATTTTATAATGGATATAAATACACTTATCAAGCATGGATAGAATAGAAACTTCATTGCATCAAGAGAAAATACAGTAGTGTTGCCAATGTCAACGAGTTTATTTCCATTGATTTGAAGATTCGGTAAGGCCACTACTCTTACTCTAGGCTTAATGCCCAAATTTGGAAACCGTGTACCAATTGACTCAGCCTCTGCCACGTCATTCTAAAGTCAACGATCCATCTTTCTATTTATCTTCTTCTTCATCACCAAAAAGAAATAACCCTAATCTTCTTCTTCATCAAAATGGGAAGACTCAGCCACGACCCTTTCATTCAACACTTCAGCCACCATCATCAGCTCCAGCTAACCCAAACCCTAACACCAACGACACCGTTTTGTTCTGGCTGCAACCGTCAGTCCTCCGGCTGGATGTACACTTGTAGACCCTGTAACTTCTCCCTCCATCTTTCATGTTCCCAGATGCCTCAGCTCATTAACCACCCCTCTCATCCTCTCCACCCTCTCTCCCTCCTCCCAAAACCGCTCTACCCTGGCGGCGTCTTCAAATGTGACGCGTGCGGCCACCAGGGCCACGGCTTCAGCTACCACTGCAATAACTGTGACTTCGATTTACATATTCTTTGCGCCTCCAAACCGCTCTACGTCACCCACCACGCCCACGCCTGCCGCCTCTCGCTCTCTTTTTCTCCCCCATATCAAGCAAAAGGATTTTCTTGCGATATTTGTCGTAAGTTCGGGGCGAATCATTGGCTGTATCATTGTGGGAACTGTGAGTTTGATGCGCACTTGGATTGCGCTTCCAATACTCATCAAATTCAGCACTCTATTTCGTTTCCAGGGGGAAATTATCATAATGGGGTGATGAATCAGCAGCAGTTTGTGCATAGTCAAAGCATGGGAGGCATGCAGATGCAGAGTAATAATTATCAGCAGTTTCAGCAGCAGCAGCAGCAGCCATGTTTGAGTGGGAATTCTTTGATGAATGCTGCGGTTCAAGGGTTTGTTGAAGGTGCGGCTCAACAGGTTGGTCAGAATTTTGTGCAGAATATGATGACTGGTGGCAGCATTCTTGATCCCGGTAACAATGGTGGAATGGTTTTTGATTTTGGAGATTCTTCCATGGTGGGTGATTCCTCAGGTGAAGCACAAAGTTAAACAATTATCCGATAACACATGCGCCTAAAAATATCATGTTATGTTGTTGGGGTAACGTTATGTCTCATTATCCATCCTTGGATCTAATTCATGTTCGTTAATGTTATCTTCAGTAACATATCATATAACACAAATGGTTTGTTAATTATATGAGACACGAAATTGAAGAATTACCGGACGTATACATAAGAAAATGTTATGTTATTAGGGTAACATTACATTTTGATATTCAGCTTTGAATTTTGATTTATGTTCATATGATAATTTCGACGCCATGGATTTGTTATATTTTATTGTATTATTGATATGATAAGAAATGTTATTAGATTGATAAGAACTTTAGAATTAATTATTGACTTGGGTTACAATGTATAATAATATCCGATCCATATGCATTAATCTAGTGTTTGTTGTTAATTTGTGGTTGAATTTGTCAAAATTTGACTTCATGAAGGACAACAAGCACATGCATTACGGTCTAATATGAATTGACTTTAATTAATATTATCTTTAAAATATAATTCAATTTTAAAATAAATATACTAACTTTAAGGTTTAGAAGTTTTCCAATAAATCTTAATAATTCAAATAAATATTTTTTTCATTATTATATTTCGGTTACATCTGACCCACCCAATTTAATCGGCAGGAATATGGTATGGGCCACTGTCCGTACTAAGCCCATAAAGTAATGTGGCCCATTTTTGTTTAAGCTATTTTGATGTAGAAACATAAATAATTGCTTTAGCAAAAGTTTTTCTCCCTTTGTTATATATAGAGGTGAGCACGGGTAGCGGGTAGAATAGGAACCTACGGGTAGAATTGGAATCAAAACCAGAACCTACCTAGAACTGACACTATGCTGATAGGTTTTGATTTTGATTCCTATAGGTTTTGGAGCCGGAACCAAAATCGGGGAAAAGAAGCTAAAGCGGGTACTCGGGTTGGAACTTGTTTGTGTTTTGGTTTTGATTCAGAAATTTTAATGTGAATTATGACGAATTAATTGAATTCAAGTGTTGCTTAGAGATTAGTAGATTTATGAGTCACATTGGACACAAATGAATGAGTAATAAAAAGTTGAAAACTACTAATTTGTTAGGGGTGTATTTGTAAACTTTTAAGGTATTTTTGTCAGTTTTTAAACTAATAGGGGTAATTGATTTTTTATAGGGTATCGGGGTAAGGAACCGGAACCTGCATTTCAGGTTTCGGTTCTCCCAAAAAATGCAGAGTATCCAAAACCACTCAGTCCTAGTTATAAATTAACCCTTGTATTTATAAAGTTATAAGCTTATGATTATGCTCTCTTAGTACTATTAGATGTTACTAGAGAAGTTTTCTTACTACTAAAAAGATGAATCCCACATTTTCTTTCTATTTTCATAGAAACCAAACAACAGCACCATAAAAACAAAACCAAGGGTGATACTGTAAATTTAAAATCAAATGAAAGTCAACCATGAAGCGTCGTGCAAAAAACACAAAAAACAAAACAAAAACCATCAATTTTCTTTCTATTTTCCCGGCAACCAAACAAAAAGAGTTGCAGAAAAATATGTGTGTATATATATATATACAGCCAATGGCTTACCTACGATTTCTAGTTAGTGGGGTCAAAAGATCTAAGTTGATAAATTTACAATAAAATATATATTGAAGTAATAAGTATAAAATAAAATAATGTGATTAAAAATTTAATTTTAAAAGTTATACATACCAAATTATCAATTCTATAATTGTTTTCGATAATTTTTCATATTCTAAAAACGTTGCATAATTGATTACCTTTAACTAGACCCAACTCATTTAACATACAATTATGTCAGTTACATACATAAAATGATAAAACACAAACTAGGGCAACATAACTCATGATCTTTTATCAATTAAGAAAGATAGAATAAGAGATTTTTAAACAAAATAACAAAAAATGAGCATCATCTTATCTTGTGACCTCTAAAGGAGTAGTTTTTCTTGATTAATCCAAACAAAGGAAGAAGAAAGTATGAGAGAAGAGTAAAGAAACTGAAGAAGAAAGAAAACGTGAAAAAAAAGGGGGTATTTTCAAATCCTGGGATCAATAAAAAATGAAAATATCTTAGTGGAGTCCGACAAAATATGGGTTATTTTAGTGGGGTCAACAAAAATTTTAATGGAATCAAAATTGTTGATTAGTATAAAATATATACCTATTTTTTAATAAATGACCTCACTAAGTATACTTTGGCTACGCCTTGTATACAACTGAGACTTTTTGTTCCACCTTAAAATTGTGATTCAATTCAATGTTGGTTTAAGAATTTCACATGGTGAATCGTGATTGTGGTCTTACATATATAGCTGATAATTCGAATTCGACAAAGACTTTTCATCGGTATAGAACAAACTCGCTTATTGATCATCTTCAAACTTTTTCTTATTGACGATTTTCCATATCTTGATAATGAACTTCAAAGAATCATAGCCTGCTTCATTCAATTTTGTCGGATGCAATAAATAAGATAATATCATTTCCAACTCTTAAAAAGACTATCCAATTAACTCGTTGCATTGATTGTTATATATACATGTATATGGGCCATACCGTAAATAGGACTAAATTGAAAAGTATTTAAACTAAGAAGGACTGCACTAAATTAAATAGAGGATTGTAATTAATACATGCCATAATAGAGACTATAAAACTTGCGATGTTCTTTCAAATTTAGTTGCAAAACAACTACTTATTTCCTAATGCAAACCCACTACTTGTTTCCTTTCCCATTCAATTAGGGAGTTTGTAAAACTTACGCTTCAAGAAAACAAGTAGTTAAATTCATGAGGGACACTCTCACTTGTTGTCTCTACAATTGATCCTCCTCTCCCAGAACACCATACTTGAAATTTCATCAATATACTCTCATTTGTTCTCTCTAAAAACCACAAAAAACAAACACTTCCATTTTATCAAACACAATCACAATCACTATTTCTCAAAGTCAGAATTCTTAGCGATCTTTTCAAATTAGCGGCTGTGTGGCGGAAGAGTTTTTCAAACTCAACAACATAGACATGGCGATCAAGTTTCTCACAGCAGCCAAAGAGTTTAATCCGGAATCACCCAACATCGATGACTACTTCACAGCTTACAGAGTGCACGAAGTGGCTGCCAAGAACAGCACCTGGTATGATATTCTGGACCCATGTTTCAAGTTTGAGTTTGTTCAGTTTTGTTACAAAAAAAGTTGATGGCCCAATAGTTGCATCAAGAAAGTTAGAGTTGGTCAGGCAGGAGTTGTATAAGCTTTTTGTTGCTTATGAGGGTCTAAGTTGCAATGAGGTTCTCGGCGATCCTTGGGTACAGACTAGTAGTCCTAATATCATTGGAGATGATATTTGTGTAAGTCAATACTCCCTAAATATTTTTATATTCTTGTAATTAATAAGGTTTTGTTTATTTTGTAATTTTGCTTTATTAAATTTAAATATTTAAATGGTGCATGAATTTGACTACTACAAGAGTGATTTAGTGCTATTAAGAAGTCCGAATTGGATATTTATTTGGGAGAGGCAAGGTTTGATCGCATCAAATTTTGCAATCTAGATATCCTGGACCATTGGAAGAAAAATTGTGATCGATACCTAATACTTTCCATGATGGCCGTGATGTGATGAGCAAAAACTTGTTGTTGATTTTCGCAAGTGTACGAAATCGTGTAAGTAATACAGTGTAAGAATACAGATGTCGAACCCAAGGGAATTACTAATACCAAGTACCACACTAACCTATCTTATTGCTATTTGATTAATTAGATTTTTAGAATGATTCAATGAAAAATAAAACAACTTAGAAACAAAATAAAAACAGACTTTTATTAACACTTTAGTTGGAAATCAATATGACTAAACCTAGGGCATATATTTCACACCAATTTAATCCTATGCATTGACAATTATTGTTAACCCAATTAAGCTTATTCTAAAGACCAAACTCTCTAATATTTCGCTAACTTTCTCTTGAACAATTAACAAATTAACTCCTAATCACTAACTCGAATTATCTCTAATCAGATTTAAGCAATTGAAGATCATTAAGTTCTATGAAATTTACCAGAGCCTCACAGATCGCGGTAACCCATCTCTAACGTTCGCTCAATCTATAGTTTTATTACCTTAGACTAATTAGGTTTCATCTCTCGATCTCAACCTAACCCATAAAATCATTCAACTTGAGGGCCCCTAAGAATTGAAAGCTTTAAGCGCAATAATAAAACTTAAAACAAATCCTAATAAAAATTAGCAACAAATAATTCAATGCATACTCATAAAATTGGGCTACATCTTAGCCCTAGAAAATAAAATTAGTTCATACTTTCAGTAATAAAAGTCATCGTATTCATGAACATGAGTATAAGAAAGAGTAGAAAAACTTCTCTAATTGATGACTCAAAATTGCAGGAATTTGCAATCTCCAAAGAGCAATTGAACTTTTCTCCCTTCTCCTCTAAAAATAAGCTAAAGACATCTATTTATACTCCTAGGGTTTTAGGGTTATGATTCCCACTATCCTAATCACTTTAGAACTCTTAAAACAGGAAATACACATCATAAATTTAATGTAAATAATTCCAGAATCGCAGTTGTGCCGCGGCACTGTGCCTAGGCATAGTTGATTCTGCCCTAGAACTCACAATCTTGAAAATATGGTGGTTTTTGACCATGATAACATTCGAATCTTTCCAAGTGGTAAACATATGAATTGTAGCCCTTTGAATCAGATTTCCAACGGTTTAAGAATCATCTCAATCCAAAATCTACAGCTCAAGTTATTGTCGAATTACTATCACATGTTCAAAACTGGAGCGTTTTCTAGGATTTTCACTTTAATTTCAAATCGCCCTAACTTCTTCGTTTCAGCTCCGAATCATGAACTATTTGATTCTTGTTGTCCCACATTCTATCGTCAATATAACCTTCATTTGACTATCATCTTCAAGAACCTGAAAACACTCAAAACATACCCGTGATCCCATAAAAGATATTTATGAAATAATTAAATTAAATTTCACAAATTAAACACATTTTTCCACAAATAATCCAATTGAATCACTAAAAAAATATGTATTTTCAAGCTTTGATCATATACCAATAACAACTGTTGCTTCGGAGTCCAGTTTCAGTGTTAGTAGCAAAGTGCTCAGTAAATATCGAAGTTCACTTTTACCGGAGAATGCAGAGTCTTTGATATGCACCAGGACATGGATTTCTAGATATGAAGTTAAAGGTAGC